TGTTATTTTATTACGTTATAGTTAAACAATAGAGTATTGGAGCTCAATAAGGAGCTCTAAGGTGTTTGATATCTTCTCTCGTTTTGTTTGGCTGCTGTGCTCTCATTCTGTAGTTCAGTAATGTCATCCTACAATGACAAATTTACAAAGCATAATAACATGATTACAGATGGATAGCATGGAGGAGAGATAAATCAAGCTGTAATTCTTAACATGACTTTTGCAGGCTAAATTAGCACATTCAGATAATTTTAGGCATGCACAAAGGTCATATTGTCACAAAGCTATAAGCATATGAAGACATATTATCATACTATATCCTAATCTGATAACCATTCAGGAACTCCTCCATCTAGAAGATTTAGCTTTTCAGTTTACATAAGACTTCAGTTGATTTAATAAAGTTCGATGCAAAATATAAGTTATAACAGATTTGTTAGTGTGGATACAAGTTAATTTAATAAGTAATATAACATACTAATGCTGATAACCTACTTCTGGGCTCTAATTTACAGCACTGTGTATCACTACAGTGGCCAAGGCAAATGTCGAGCACATTACGCAGCTGTTTTCATATCCTGATATCAATGCATTGTAAGGTCCAGATGTCCATGTGTGGCAATGCTCTCAAAAGCTGAACAACATCAAATACTGTCTATTTAATAGATTGCCAGCACCTGGATGCATGATGCCCTTCGTTGATTGACAAATCATTTAAAATCTTCATTGCAATATTTAGAACTTCATTAACAAAATTGTCAAAATATGACCTCTTGCAGTGAGTGATTTTTTAAGTTAGATGTGCTTGGATATGATTAGTGACCTCCATTATCTTCATATTAAAAAGTCTATGTATTCAAGAAATCATTTTTTTTCACCTCTAAACATCACAAGCCTCAACCTTAGCTGCCAGTGGCTGCACCTGAGTGCTATTTTGGTATTTTTTCTGTTTCTACAATAGCTAAAATTCAGATGCTTTTTTTAGTTAGAAACTGCAAGCAGGCAAGGGTGCAAGGCAAAACTTAGAAATGTTAGATTAAATCAAATTTGGAGTTCATGTTCTCTGGGTAGTAGCCTAACCGGAAATAATGTAATGATCTCAAATTAATGGCATAAATAGTAGTAGAAAAAAAACATATAGTGGCTTGATTACAGAACAGTGATTTATCGGAGCAAAAATTGAAAATTGTATCATATACTTTTTGGTTTGCAGTAAGAGATGCAGAGGTCGTTGAGTATATTTAATAAGCTGAACAAAAATGTGTACATTGAAAAGATGGACAAAGGGCAAAACTGCATTAGCAATACCTGGAAGGCTGGAACCAACACTTCCACTCCTATTTTTTTCGGTGGAGATTATTGCTCACTGCACATGGTCTGACAGCTTAAAGATTGCCTGGGTTTATACCTAGCAGAGGCAAAGAAATATTTTTATTGTTATTTCTTCCATAGAACTGCTTAAAGGGCGGGCCTGGTGCAAGCGGTAGAGTCTTACCGCCTGTGACCGGAAGGTCCCGGGTTTAAGTCGCGGTCTCCTCGCATTACACAGGCGAGGATAAAGCTTGCCACTGACACCCTTCCCCGGGAGCTCTCTACACTGGGTACACCATTTTCTTCCATAGAACTGCTTGCACATGACCTGCTTATTTTCCAATTGAGATGAAATTTAGGTTACTTGCACACTCTTTGGTTCAAATGGTCTTTATGCATATTGATTTGGAACACTCAAAATCCAATCTTCCATAGATGTTGATGCCATGGTAAGTTGAAGGTAGTAAGCAAAAACATTTGAAAAATTGATTATTACAATGTGGTACAGGATAATCTTTTCTACAGGCATTTTAGCAAACACATGATGTTCATAGTAAGAGAGTTACGAAATAGCTGTGAAGCACGTAGGGAGGAAGGGAGAGCGAGATTACCAGACGCCCCCCTCCCCCCTGTCATCGCAGCAGCAGTGCCTGCCAAAGGGCCTGTGAAGGCAGGGTGAGGGATGCTCCCGAAGGCATTGGAGCCCAAGTTGGCACCGAAGTGGCGGAGCCCCAGAGCATGCTGGTGGAGAGCACAGTGGAGGTGCACGGCCGCCGCTTCCAGTCCGTCGTGCATTTGCCACATTTCCTCTTCTTCCTTCCGTTGGCGCACCAGCTGCCGACGCGCACCTGCGCTGCCTGACTGCATCTGAAGCGGAAATAGAACGGAGGAGACATGTCGTCATCTTCATCTACTCTCTGAGCGGTCGCCCCGCAGGCTCTTGGCCTTCTTGCGGCGCGGGCATCGGGGACCACGAGGTGGGGCTGGGGCACTGGGGGGACTGCAGGGCCCGGACGCTTTTGCGGGCGCCACCAGTTGCCTCAGCTTCCACCATGTTGGCCACGCCCGGGTTCCCGCGGCCTTGCCTGTGAAGAAGAAGGTGGCCATGGCCATGGAGGCGGCCGGAGGTGCCGGGGTAGATGTGGTGCCCGGGGCGGACATCGGTTTTGCTACGGCGGGGTCGGCGAGGTGGCCCGAGCTCGAGCTGCGCCGCCGCGCTCGCGTCGAGGTGAAGGTCAGGCCGATGAATCGAGAGTACGGGAGATATCGGGTCCGTGATGGAGTGGCCAGAGAGAAAGAGTCCCGGACTGCGGGTTGATTCGGCTAGAGTTCGAGGTCTTCTTTGCAAAAAGTCCACGGCTCGCTCGATCCCCGCGACGTGGCACGCTGGCTGGCCAGCTTTTGGAGGCAGGATTCATATGGTAAGATGGATCAAACGGGCTTCCAGACAGGCCTGAAGCAAAAAGAAAAGGACGGAGTGCAAGGAACCTTTGTACATCCCTTTTGTGTTATGTTATAGGATTAATTTGATTGGTACCATTATAATTTGCAAAGTTTTGAGAACTATCATTACTATTCACCTATTTTGAGATGAGCCATTACAATTCTTCAGCACTCTGAAATATACCATTATATACGCTTTGGATGCTGTTGGGCTCATATGCAGAGCAACGTATTTCCGTATTGACAAGAGTACCCCTCTATCCTCCTCTTCCTCCATATGACTGCCCTGTGGGTCCCATCTGTCATCTTCTTCTTCCTTCCCTATTTTCTTCCCCTAACTCCCTGTGGCGGCTCCCCACCCAAACCCTAGGACCCGTGGCTCCTACCCCCACCCAAGACTCACCCTCCCCGCCCTCCTACCACCACTCCTTCGTGGGCCCCCCACTCTCCTCTTCCTCACTGCTGCTGGCCGCTCATGCGCTGTTGCCGGCCAATCAATCTTCCATTGTCGTTCCCCATGCGCCGGGGGCGGAGGTCGCCGTCGCCGACGACCTGGAGCGGCACCTGGAGGCTGGATCTAGCGATTCGTGGTCGCCAGCTCTTCCTCAACCTCGCGCAGGCTCGGGCGCTGGCGAACGCGCGGAGCAGTCGCCGTCGACGCCCGTGACCTCCTCCTCCACTAGTGCCCCTTCTCCCTAGCCGCGGCCGCCCTAGCCCTGGCGTGGGGGCCACAGCTGGCTCCTCCCTGTCGCCACCATCGGGCCCCTCCTCCAGCGCCCCCAGCCACCGGTGGCGGACGACGTGGCCGCGGCCACCTCCTCCGCTGGCGCCCCAGCAGTGGCCACCACCTCCACCGGCGCCCCCTCGATCCCTCCACCGTCCCGTCCGGGCTGGCATTGGCAGCTGCACCTGCCGTCTTGTCACAGCCGACTCCACCAAATTTCAGAAGGAGGAAGAAGATGACAGACGGGACCCACACGACAGTCATATGGAGGAAGAGGAGGACAGAGTATGTGACAGACGGGACCCACACGGCAGTCATATGGAGGAAGAGGAGGACAGAGGGGTACTCTTGTCAATACGGGAATACGTTGGTCTGCATATGGGCCCAACAGCATCCAAAGCGTATATAATGGTATATTTTAGAGTGCTGAAGAATTGTAATGGCTCATCTCAAAATAGGTGAATAGTAATGGCAGTTCTCAAAACTTTGCAAATTGTAATAGTACCAATCAAATTAACCCTATGTTATAGGCAAAAGACCAAAAGAACAAACGCATATGGATCATCATCAAATATAGAACTCCTGTCATGATGTGGTCTTCAGAAACCTACCTCCTAGTGTGGATCTTCTAGTGATGGCCTGCAAGTCAACAGCAAGCCTCTGGCAATGCTGTATCGCTATGGACTCCCCTTCTCACTAATTTCTGGAAATCAATTGTTTGGATGTAATCTTTCTCTCCTCTCTCTTCGAAATTGTAATTGGCGCCAAGCCAAACATATGTGCCCTGTTTGTTTAACTCATAAGTCATAATTAAAAGTGTTGTTAGCTGAAAAAGTACGGCTTATAAGCTAAATGAACAGGACGATAGGGTCGTTGACCCTCCGCCCACTAGATCATGTCTGGAATGTATTGTAATATATGTAGTTGGGAACTCTTCGTCCCCGTTGCATTTCAAAAAATAAATAAATAAAGAACTCCTATTATCACGCTAGCACACAGTCAACCACCGGGCCGGGCGAACCCGACGCGGCAGCGGACGCGAGCCATCGCACTCAGGTCACGATAAAAAAATTGGAGCATACCGCGTCGGGCTGGGGGTGCCCGAGAGGTAAAGGAACCCGACGCGGAGCCCAACGCGGCAGCGGACGCGAGCCATCGCACTCAGGTCACGATAAAAAAAACATAGGAGCGATCCTATTGGAGCATACCGCGTCGGGCTGGGGGTGCCCGACCGGCCGTCTACAAAAGGAGCGGAGGCGGCGGCCATGGCGAGGCAGGCCAAGCATCTCCGATACACTTGCTATCTCGATCCCCCCACTTCTTTCCTTCCCACCTATAGCAACAAAGCTTTGGACACATCCATACTTGCCTCCGCAGGTCCGGCTTCTGCTTGCTTGGCCCAGCTAATCCCAAACTTGTCACTGGATTTTCCCTTGTCGCCACCGTCTCAGATTAGATTAGCTTCTTCCAGTTCCAGCTCAAACTAACCCAATTTCAATTTCAACACCATATACCTACCTCCATGGACGAGAGCCTTCTGTTCGGCATGGCGAAGGAACACGCCAACTTGTACCAGCATGACGACCCATGGGACCTCCCACCATACTTCCTCCTGAGAAAGAACGAGTGGAAGAGATTGCGGACACATTCTGGGTACTGGAAAGAGAAAGAAGAAGAGCTCACCGCCATCCGTTCGGCTGGAGAGCCGTCGTCCTCCTCCTCCTCCGCCTCACCGTCCTACGTCGGGGTTAGGAAGACCCTAGAGTTTTACCTCAAGGACGGCACGAGGGGCGGAGAGGGCACCAAGACGGATTGGATCATCCACGAGTACCACCACCTCCGCAAGGACGACGACGGAGAGGCCTTGTTTCTCCAGGTATAAGGCTATAAGGTAAGTACCGTCGTACCGACAACTATGTTAATGACCAATCTGACCATTTCTGACGATGTATACATGTAGGAGGATGTGGTGCTTCGTAAGGTATTCAAGAAATGCAAAAACAGAACAGATCACGCCTCCTCTCTTTACAAAGAACTGAAACAAGTACACTGCTCCCGCCGTGGTACGTTATTTCATCATCCTTACCTAACTGATCAGTAGATAATATATAGTAAAACGACTTTTTACAAGCACCAACTATCAAGAGTAATTTTGTCTTTTCATTTAGATAATAACTGTGGAAACAAATCAGACATCATCCTTGAAACGAAGGGATTAGACCTACCTAAAATAGCACACATCAACCAAGCACACTCCTGCCAACATGCAAACAGCAGTTCCGATACACCACTGCTCGTTGCAATTGAGGTGGCGGGAGTCCTTACAAGATTTGAAAAACTGCTCGTTGCACATCGGGCGGGAGGCTTTGCAAGCGAAGAACTTGAAGAACTAATGATTACATTGTCTCGAATATCGAAGAGGCTGCTTGAGTGGGTGTATGAACATTTAGTTGTGCACTGCGGTCCCTATGGAAAATCAGATAATGTTTCGAAGAAGCATGGGAAACCAGATATTGTTTGGAAGCACTTCACCAAGATTCGTAGTGCCAATGATCCTGATGAGGTGTACGCAGCGTGCCACCGCTGTGATAAAGTGCTGAAGGCTCATCCCAAGAAACATGGCACGTCTCACCTCAAAAGGCACATTCTCACATGCTCATCAACCTGCACTAATCCTTCCACTGACGAGGACCGTGAAATGCTGCACCTTCTCCGCACAGCGCTCGACAATCCTTACGAGCAACAGAAGATAGACGTGAAGCTCGACTGTCAAGAGGATCTCACCCAGCTGGACCCTTGGGATCTGAATCTCACCTGCTCCGCCCCCTGGTACGTCACGAGGTCGTCGAACCGGCAGACGCAAGGGGGGCACTGGAAGGAGATAAACAAGGAGTTCACTGCCATCCGGATGGATCAGAAGGGGTGCTGGAAGCACATTGACAAGGAGATCGCCCCGATCCAAATGGTGCCGGTGCCGCAGTACATGGGGCTGAGGAGGACCCTGGAGTTTCACCATCAGGACGGCAGGAAGATGGACTGGATCATGCTGGAATACCAACAGCTGGATGATATCCAATCCCCTGCCCTGTTTCTTCAGGTAGGTGACATTTTTTTAGCACCGTTGCCATGCTTTCGTTTTTATTATGCATGCTTCATTCATTCGTGCTTACTGCTTGTAGGGGGACACGGTGATTCGCAAGGTATTCCGCTATGACAAAGATGCGGTCTCATCTGCTTTCATTGAGTTGGACAGGTGGCTAAATGGAGATGATGATGACGAGGGGCACTCCAATGGTAATATGAGTTCTTCATTAGTCCGGCCGCACATTTGAACGTTCCTTTCTTGCACAACCAGACTGTTAATATTCCCTGCTTTGTTTTTCCGTTAGGTGAGGGCGTCAACACTGACACCACCACGCCCAGTGATTACATGGACACTCCCTGCTCTGTATTCACATTGGGTGAAGGCACGAACACTGAAACTGCCACGTCCAGTAGTGATTACATGGACACTCCCGTTGATAGGAAGCGCAAGAGGACTGGTGCTGCTTCCAGCCGCAAATCAGAAGTTTGGATGCACTTCACCAAGATTCACGACACAGATTGTGCAGTGGTGTACGTAGTGTGCCACTCCTGTGACAGGGGGTACGGTAGCGGTCGCTCTACGAATGGCACCTCTCACCTGTGGAGGCACAACAAGAGCTGCACAAGCAAGCGCCGCAGGACAGGAAACGCGAATGACGCCACCACTGAATGGGAAGCAGAAATCTGGCCACTGTTCCTGCTCTTGAAGAACTATGGAGGTTGTGACTTGTCACTTGTGTTCGTTTCTACTCAAGCACAGCCCTTCAGTTTGTTTTCTATGTTTCTCTCTATTATACATACTACTAACACTTGTTCTCTGTTTCAGAAACAGAGCAGCAGGGATGTGCTCAAGCTAGGAGCCAAGGAGATGGGCCTGCCTGCTGATGATTGTTAGAATGGAGGCAGTACAGTGTGGGGCTAATGCGCACAACGATTTCACATGCTCCCTTTTGTTTTTTCAGTTTTGTTTCAGGCTTTACTCTGTCCTAAAGTTGGGCTCTGTCTTATGTCGTCTTATTCTTCTTTGCTACTCCTACAATGTTTAAAGTAGCTGAGACCTATGGTTACCTGACTTTGATCTACTGTATGAATTATGATCAGGGATGTACTATCTTTGAATATTTGAGAGAAATGGAGGTTTGATTTTAGAGATAGTACAACATGAACTGAATTAAGTCAATTTCTGCACTCTGCTGCTAGAACTTTTACAGGAACGGTAATTAGTAGCACCACTGTATTTTCGAATTTTCTAGGCAGCTTAAGCTCATATAGGGGCGTGACCGTAATTAGTGCTCTGCTGTCTCTGTCTCCAGTATCCAGCGGACAGCTAAGCTAATATCAGATCAGGAGCCTGGTCTGCTCTCTTCTGCAATCTGATGCTGCGACCATAGCTCTCCATATCTTTAGGAGCTCAATGGTGGGCCCATTTGGTGCTCGAACTGTATTTCGGTGTAGATTCACTGCACCAGGATTGGTCATTGATCCATGGACCATTTTCCACCAATTTGATTTTTTAAAAGAGATGTACGTGAAAGCGGCCCACAGCCACGCAGAAGGGGCCCACAACAAGCATGTAAGCCTAGGCCCATTAAATAAGTTGCTTCTTATCCATTGGACATTGAAGCCCAATTTGACATAGGTAGGATTTTCTTCAAAAAAAAACTATTTCTTGTTTATAAGAAACGGCGAAATCAGTTTTTTCTGGATGTAGACTAGGAAACCAATTGTAGAATTCTGAGATTCTCTTTAAAAATTGTTTGCATTGGTATGGTTTCTTCGGGAAGATCTCATGTGCTCCCATGCCCCTACTTAGAAAGATCATCAAAAAGTGCATGAAATATTCAACAAAATATATGAATGGATAGATGATGCACGTATCCGTCTTTATGCAAAATTTAAGGATGAACAAATAATTCTACAAGGAGAACAAAAAAGAAAAAATCAGGACGCAATTGATGCGGGTTGTGGATCCAGGTAAATAGCGTGTAGCCAACCCAATTATATCATTATTTTCTCTCTTTTTTTCTCCTTGTACAAACCTTTGTTACTTTTAAAATTTTGCATGCACATGTATGCTTGAATGGAGCTCTAAGAGCATCTCCAATAGTTCCTAAAAATTATTGATAAATAAATGAGTTTTCCACGTGGCTAAAAAAAATTGGGAGTACATTTGTTTGGTTCCTTCAACAGTTTTCAAAAACACACTCCTAAAATATATATAGAAAGCAAGTTTGCCTCTCAAGAATCACGAACTATTTCCAAATCACCCTAATCACTTTTATACTTTCTTTCTCTCTTGTACATTAACGGTTGAATTGTATACACGCACATATGATATATAGTACTCTCTTTCTCCTAAAAAGAATGGGACTCTAGGAGACTAGTACTGTGCTGATCCAAACATGTCTGAATTTTGATCAGGTTATATAAAAAACAACATTATCTATGATACTAAATAAATGTCATTATATTTGTTACAGAATATATTTTTATAGTATATATATGTCATTATATTTGTTATGGAATACATTTTTATAGTATATATCTATACTTTTTAATAAATTTAATAAAGTTTTATATAGTTTGACAAAATACGTAATTTCACTCATTTTAGCTTGTTGTGGAAACAATCCAATCGTTTTAACCGTGGCTTAATACCTTATTACAGTGATGACACTAGGAAAGAAGACAATTTTGGTTTGACACTGGTCAAACCAAAGCTCGCTTTGGTACGTTATGTTGTTCCTTTCACATGCCGATCGACATTCCATACTGACCGTGACTGGTCGGGGCCCGGGCGACCCACCCGACGCTCACGCGTGCGTTCAGAGTAGCACTGCACAGTGGCACAGTGCACACGTTTTTTTTTTCTAGAAATTGCTTGCCCAGCACCGAACTCAACGAATATTCAGGAGTACCGAGTACGTACAACTGCTTATTCATCGGGAGTCTAACAAACAAAATAGGTACTCTGCACTAAGCTTTTGTGATGAGGGGGCGCTCCCGTGTGGGTTGATGTCAGAACCGTGCGTGGTGTTGGGACGTTTGGGACAGGGAGGAGCGAAGAGGCGGAACCAGAGAAAAATCTAAGGCGGGCAAGATGAAGAAAATGCATGGCTATAGTACCTTAAAAAGCTTCTTACCTTTGAAATACCTACTATTACTATAGTTGAAGTAGGAGTACATAAAAAATTAGACCATAGGGGGGCCTTGGCCCTGCTAGCCCCTTTGTTACGGCTCTGGAGGAGTGCTAGCGTCCGCTACCGCGTTGGCACGTGGTGAAGGATAAGTACCTGTCATATTTCCATATATTGAGCCTCTGCTGGTCGGTGCTTGTTTCGATGTGGGACAGTGATGGAATTGTTCATGCCATGCCTACAAACCTTGGCAATTTGGAGCGTGAAAGCGTGACAGCTGAGACTTTAGCTGAAAAATAGCAACAACCTAAAGAGTGTTTTTTTAGATACGTGTAGCTTGTCATAACTTAGTGCCTGTTTGGATCTATTAACACTAAAAGCTAATACATTTGTTTTCATTGCTTTTAGTGAATATATTGTAATACATATTTGCATCTAAAATAAATTCAAATGAAAAAAATTGAAAATTTTTATATCTCTTTGCGTACTATGAATGCCGAGGTCATTTGAATAAAATCACAGAAAAGTTAACTTCAAAATCACTAATCTTAAAACATATTTTTTGGCTCTAAATAATTTCAAATTAAAAAGTAGTCAACTATAAAGTTACAGATATTTTTTATACTAAAACTTTGGTTCAGGTCATTTCTTTACCTAACATCGTTTCAAAAATTTTAAAAAAAATCAAATTGTTTGTAATGGCGTCAGGTTAACAAAGTTATAAGTGAAATATATCTATGCTGGCGGGTTTTTAAGGTTACTGCTAGTACATTAAAAAAATCCATACAGAATCCGTCAATGGAGATACATCTCCACTTATGGTTCATAGCCATGGGTCTAGTTGAGATACAGGGTACAATGCCCTTGGTGCAAATTCCATCGATAATTCAATTGTGCCAAGTCGATAGAACCTATTATGCTAGTTTAGTTGTGTGAGATGCTGATCACCAATACGGAAGATGCATGCATTATGTATTTCTCGTCAGTTATTGTGATATCTGTGCTACTAGATGAGACCAAGGGCAGATTGGTCGATGTACCATGCACTCTCTCCCCTCCCAGGCTAGACAATCCTTTTCGGCGTGTGCCGAGCAAAGTTGTGTTTTTCTAGTGTCCTTCAGCCTAAAATTTTAGACACCATATTTGTTATTTTCGACAAATGGCCCGCAAAAGAAACACCGCTTGGCGTGCACACTTTAAACTACTCTAGAAATATAGGGCTTGTTTGATGAAACAACTTTAAATACAACTATGGTGTCTAAAGCCATCTCACGAAGTCCGTCCGTGGCCCCTCGAGCATCCGTCCACCAAAACCAGTCCACGGCTCCCATCACCGGGTCCGTCTGCGGCCTCCACCTTCTGTCGCCGCCGGCTGGCCCCGTCATCCGCCCGTCTCAGCGGACGGGTTCCACGGCCGCCAGCCTCTTGGTGATGTTCGTCTGCCACATGCTGCAGCTCCTCATCAACTCTGTTGCTGTTGGTGGCAGGGGGGGCGCACATCCCCCCTAAGTAACATTTGTAATGATAGAATTGGAATCTTACCGACACTCAAGCTTAGTTTTGATGACCTACCATCACATATAAAGCAGTGCTTTACGATTTTTCTCATTTATTAGATTTATTTATTTATTTTATAAAATATAAAAAAAATCAATAGCTCGGATTTGTTTGAGTTGTCTACAGACTCACATATACAGCATGTTCGCTTGCTCGTAAACGATCGTAAATTTCCAGCCGGAAACAGTGTTTTTCTCTCACTCCAAACCAGCCAGCAGTAAATAATCCACGATATAATACGGCCTCCCGAACAGGCTGATAGTATTTTGTGAGGCTACTCACGCTATGTATGAAAAATTAAAACCAATGGATCACTTGTCTACCGACTGTAACATGTTGCTTGAAGTATGGGGTGGGTGCACTGGCCTAGTTGCGGCCCATGTTTCTTTTCATAGCGTCAAGAAGAAGCATGTGTAATGTCACACACTGGCCCAGTTGTCAGCCATGGATTATTTTTCTCCAACCTTCGTTCTAAATAATAAGTCGTTCTGGCTTTTTTTGATACATAGCTTTTATTATATATCTAGATATCATATAATTCTAGGTGTTTACCAAAAATTATATACCTAGAAAAATCAAAATGACTTAAATTTTGGAACCGGGAAAGTACTTTCTTCTCTTTTTTTCTTCTCCTTTGCTTTCCTTTTCTTTTTTTCTATTTCTTTCCTATCTCATCTTATTTTGTCCTAATGCTTTTGTGGATATTTTCTCTCTAATTGGTAATTCGCTTATTTCACATTTGAGTCGTTTGCCTTATTTGCAACTGTAAAAAAAATTTAATGCAAAAATATAATATTTTAAATTAACATCAGACTATGGAGAAAAAGAAGAGAAAATAAAAAGATATGAAAGAAAATCTTTTTTTTCTTTGACACAAGAGAACACGAAATAAACTTGCATTGAGCTTTGGCTTGTACGAACTTAAGCCGTATTTTTTCAGCCAACGAACAGTATTTTTCTCTCACAACAAATCAGCTAATAGTACTTTCAGCCATGGTTTATCAGCCATGCGAACAGGGCACTAGTATGTAGGGTTGACCTTTTTTCTTTTTTTTGGGAGGGGGAGATTTCGCTTCATTGATTAAACAACGTTATTACAATCAAATTGCAGACAAGGCTGCAAGAAGCTAGGGGACTCAGCCCACACAAAGGAAGCTAGAAAAGAAAAAGCATGTTGGGCGCAGAGGTGTGCTGCAAAATT